GCGCTCGGAATATATGTGGTCAGTTTCGAAATTACTTTCTATTACGATTTTAGTCGATAAAAACGTCATTATAACTTATTTTTATCGGTAACGTTAAAAAATAACCTAAAAGTAAATAGTGATTCAATATTTTTAAATATTTTTTAACAGGAAATGAATGATTTTTATGATTTTTCCATAATCTGTCATATTATGGATAATTATGGATAATCAATATTGTTTATTCAAATAATATAAGTAGTACTATTTACTCATATAATTTTTTTTTATTTAATGATAAAATTTTTATTTTGCTTGTTATGTACTGTCGGTAAAAAAATTCAATATTTAGACGTTTCTGAAACTGATCACATGAGGACTAGTGTATATTTTAAAAACAATGTAAAAACCTAACCTGAAGCTGTCAATTTGTTTGACGTTTAAAAATGTGATTAATATTGGAAAAAATTCAAGAATATTAACTATTATATGCAGTGATCATTTAGAAATTCACTACAGTACTGACAATTGTAAGTTCAGAATGCCTGTTCTTATTTTCACGCAAGCGCAGCTGAAATTAAGACTTCCATTATTTTCACGACTTGTTTAATTTCAGACAGCGCTTAAAGTAAGATTTACTTTTTACTGTGTATAGTATATATAGTATATAAAAAAAATAATTTTTAGTTGCACTTTCTTGTTTTAAATTTCATTTTAAGTAGTAAAAGTCAATGAACTTTCGGACCAATAGAAATTTTACACTATAATTTTGTCTGTACGGTATTTTCTGTAATAAGGATCTATGTACAATCTGCCAAAGTTAATTTTTTCCAGAAAAGTATATTTTAAGTAGTGTAAATCAATTTTCTGTCAGGCATACGGATTTTTTCATTTTTCCCCTCAAAGAGTTATATTTTGAAATGCAGTTTCAATGTCAACATAAATAAAACAATCAAATAAATTTTTAAACAAGAATTTTTTAAAAATAATATTTTCAAAGTAGTACAAATCAGTGTTTAGTCACACAAATTAAATTTTCAACTTTAAACAACATTAACAAGTACAGCATATCTAATTATAATAAAATCAGTGAGTGTTAATTTTTACTTCTCTCAATTTTTGTCTGGTATTACAAGTAGTAAAAGTCAATAATATAGTCAGTGTTGAAAAAACTTTATTTAATTCAAATAACCGATTGCTTGCCTTTTATGAAATAAATATTTACTAGAATTAAATAAGTTTTATCCAAAAGTTAAATAAATTGTTGGCTTTCGAATCAATTATTTCAGTATTTGAAGCAAATAGAAATTAATTGACTTAAAAACTATCTTACAAATCAAAGTATTTATTTAATAGTATAGGCTATATGAATCAAATAAATTTTCTTCCGAGTTAATAGTTTAAAGTAACACAGTTTTTCAGCAGATATCAAATTGAGATAAAAAAAACGAATCAAAAGTGTTGCGAAGCAACGTTGTAATTCGTGTTTTGTCTGAATTTGATATCCTTGAAAAAACTGTGAAAATCTTATTTGAATTGAAATTTCTTCCTCCGAGTGTTAAAAGGAATGAAATTTTTATCTAAATCAACAAAACTCTCGTTTTATCGTAACAAATAAAATAAGTTAATACCATCATTAAGTTAACTCAACACTTTCGTTAAATGAAATAAACTTTTTCTCCGAGTGTACAGTATATAACATAAACAAGTAAAAAGAAAACCTCTAGAGGTAATTTCTAATACAACCAGACCAGTTATTTATGTATGAGTTTGTGTCTCTTTTGATTCTAAAACTGTCATCTGAGGAATAACGAGAGCAGTTTATACAGTTTATAATGATCACTTTCATCATCGAGTTACAATTACGCGAAACAATCATGAATTTCATTCATGCGTGATGCAGTCATGATAAAATCTTCTAGTTAACTTGAACGACTTTCACGGATTTCGCACGAAAAACTTATTCATATACTAGGTGCATGGGGGAAAGTTTTTTCATTTAAAATCTCATTTTAACTTCTATATTTGGAATAGAAATTTTCTTCAATTAACTTACATATTGTGTATATATATATATGTATTATGGAGTTCTTGATTTAGTATTTCTACACAGTAAAACGTGAAGTGTTAGAATAACACCAGAATGGATTAAAATAATCTTTAACAGTTTAATCCCTCTAGGATTAAATTAACACCAGAAAGGATTAAAACAATCTATTTTGGTGTTATTTTTAACTATGAATGAAATTTTACTTTAAATAAAACACCAAAGTCAACGATTTGTAAAAATTCAACGAATTTAGCTTATCCAGGGAGAATAGTAAGTTAGTAAATTAGTTACTAACTTGCTAACTGACTTAGTAACATATTTACTAAATTCAATTGTGTTCAAAAATTTAAAAAAATTCTCGTCCAAATTTCAATTCTCTTTATAAATAATAAAATTCTTCTCTGATATTCAATTATTTTACAAAATTTTAATCAAATTCTTGTCAAAATTTCAATTATTTTCATAAATAATAACTTTTTTTACAGAGATTCAATTATTTTTATAAATAATAAAGTTCTTTTAAGAATTCAATTATTTTCATAAATAATAAAACTCATTGCAGAATTTAAATTATTTTTAATGCAATTTTAATCGAATTCCTCGAAAAATGTAATTTATTATTCTTACAAATTTTATTAAAATTCGTCCAAAGAATTTAATGATTCAAAAAATTTGTTGATAACATTTTTTATGAGAATTGAATTTCAAGAAACATGAAATTCATAAATTATTTATTTTTGTATTTAAATAATTGAATTCTCGTAGAAATTACTAATAAAAATGGTTTTAATAATGAATTTCAGTTAAAATTTTAGATTATAATTAAATATTAAAAGCATTATAACGTGGATTTTTAGAAATAATTAAATTTTCAAAAAGTTTTAAATTAAATTCATTGAAATTCTTAATTTTTCATATTTTTGACAAACAATTCTGTAGAATTTATTCTTTTTAAAAGTTTAATAGAATTTTTATTGAAATTATTTCAAGTTTCTATATTTTTCAATAAATATTTAATTGCAAAATTTCTAAGTAATTCAAATTTTGTAAAATTGAATTGTAAACGAATGAATTTGAAAATTCTTAAAGAACTTTTTAAAAAATTATTAAAAATAATGGATTTTTAGAAGAATTTTAGTTAAAAACACTAGAAAAAAAATTTAATTTTAGAGAAGTTACAAATTATTGCAGAAATTCAATTATTTTCAAGAGTAATAAAATTCTTCTTAAGAATTCAATTATTTTTACTAATAATAAAACTGATCGCAGCGTTTCAATTATTTTTCATACAATTATAATTGAATTTCTTGAAAAAAGTAATTATGTTCATTCAAGTTTTAATAAAATTCGACAAAAGAAATCAATTATTTAAAAATTTGTGAATAAAATTCTTTATGACAATTGAATTTTGAGAAACATTCAATTATTCAATAAATTATTTACTTTTGCATTTAAATAATTAAATTCTTGTAGAATTTTTTAATAAAAATTTGATATTTATTTCATAAAAATGAATTTCAGTTAAAATTTTAGATTATAATTAAATACTAAAAGCAATATAGCGTGAAGTTTTAGAAATAATTGAATTTTGAAATTATTTTTTTATGATAAAGTTTAATTGAATTTTCTTTTCTATTATTTGAAGTTTTTATTTTTTAATATGCATTTAATTAAAGAATATAGGAATAATTGAAATTTCTAAAATTGAATATTGTAGACAAATGGATTTGAAAATTGCCTAAGAACTTTTTCGAAAATTATTAAAAATAATTGATATAAAGTAAAATTGTAAAGACTCGGAGTTATCGATATCTTCATGTTTTATAGTTATAAAAAAATGTAATGAACTAAAATTTCATTCATTGTAAAAAATAACACCAAAATTGATTATTTTAATCTTTTTTGGTGTTAATTTAATCTGCAACACTTTTTAATACCTCACGATTTACTGTGTAATTAATGAAAAATTAGTTTCTGGCAGAGATGCTGAAACTGAGATTTTCAAATTGCATTAGAAAAAAAAATAATAAACAAATATTTATTTTAACAAATAATTCAAGTTTTGAAAAATTTTCAGTTGTGCAAAATTCTTTAGAAATATTCTACAAAAAAAAAAGTTTTCTTTAAAACTTGGAAAATTAAGTCACAAAGTATTGAAAATAATTGAATTTTTCGAAGAGTTATTATTGCAAATAAATATTATTTATTTGTTTACATATAAATGGGAAAATACTATTAATTTTTTTTTTTTATTTTAAACACAGCATTAATTATTAATTTAAATTCAAAAAGCTTAATAAATAATTTGTATTACAATATAACATAAATATGTAATAAATATTTACTTGAATTTACTCTTTCAAATTGAATTAGTAAAAATGTTTACTAATTTGAATTAGTTACTGACTTTTTGCTTTTGAATTAGTAAATTTTACTAGATTAGTAAAAAAAATACTATTTATTAGTAAAATTTGCTAATTCAAAAACAAAAAGTCTTTGATACATAATAATTATTGAATTAGTTTTTACTAAAAAAAATTAGTAGAAGTGACTATTTATTAACAAAATTTACGAATTCAAAAGCAAAAAATCAATTACTAATTCAAGTTAATATTTCTACTGATTAAAATTTAGAGCAAATAGATTTTATTTAAATCAAATAAATTGTATTTGAGTTTTTGAACCATTAATTTCAGTATTTTTATTTATTTCAGTATTTGAAGCAAATATGAAAAAAGAAGATTGAAAAAAATAATAAAAATAGATGAAAATTTTTTTTTTTGATAATTATTAATTTTCCTGTATTCTTGGAATGCAAAGTTCAAAGTTCATAGTTTACGGAGAAATTGCAAAATTTGTTTTCGTTTAAGTAGAAGAGGCGAAATAATTGATTTGAAAAAAATGTTCTTGTATAGTACGAACTCATTGGATTGTTTTTCTTTTGTTTTCTTTTTTTTTGGCAATGCAACAGCTATGGTCTTGTGTTGGGAGCGGGAGCCGGATTGGTAAAGGAAACAGCGGGTCTAGTGCTGGGTCATTACTTCAGGAAGCGGCTCGAGTTTGTTGAAATGATTGTGCAAGCTGGAACGGGCGTGGGGATAGTGCTCTTCAGTGTTTTCTACCAGGAGGCTGTTGGGTGAGTTATTACTTATTACTGCCTGCATCTCATCTACTTCATTCAATAAAAATGTTTTATACTTAATTAAAACACCCAATTTCATTTTCATGAAGCAAAAACGAAAAAATACTATATAAACACGAAATTTTAATTATTACAAGGAGATACCAATGCAATTATAGTGATAATTCATCTTTTTATATAAATATTTTTTTTCTTTTGGAAATTCACTTGAATTGGAGAAATTTACGATTCGACTTGTGATTTCTTTTTAGATTCAAAATTATTAATTTTTATTTTTGTATTTTAGAATAATAATAATATTTACGATTACACTTTTTCTAAGGATATCAAATTGAGACAAGAAAGGAATCAAAACGTTGCTTCGCAACATTTTTCATTCGTTTATTGTCTCAATTTGATTTCCTAAACAACTGTAATAGTGGTAGTGTTAACGATATTAATTTTAAATTTTACTTTATTAATTGTAGTGTTTACAATATTCATTGTAAAAATTACATTATTGACTGTAATGTTTACAATATTTGTAAATTTGTTTGTACTAATGTAAATTGACGAAAAAGTGTTTTTTAAGTAGTACAAGTCAATATACAATCAGACAAAGTTTATTTTTAAGTAGCATCTCTAATGAGAGGCATTTTAAGTAGTACAAGTCAATCTCTCGTTGGGCAAAAAAAAAAAATATTTTTCAACTTTAGAAAAAAAATGCTAAAAATAATTTTTTTCAAAAAGAGGATTTTAAATTAAAAAATATTTTATTATTTTTCGAAACTACTATACATTAAGAAGTAAAAATAATTGTAATCAGCTCGATCAAAGGAAACGCAAATTTTAATCACTTAACTTGTTGCAAAGGGTATTTTAAGTAGTACAACTCAATGGCCGATTAGGCAAAGTTTATTCTTAAGTAGAATTTCGCCTGAGGAGTATTTTAAGAAAGAGTCAATTGCAAATGAACCAGAGTGAACTTTAATTCGATTTCAATCAAGGAACGTGTAGTTTAAGTAGTGCAAATCAATTTCTCATCAGGCAAAAAAGTATTTTAAAAATAAACAAATTAATTAATAAATTCTCCAAACAATTAAGTAGTGAATATCCAGGGTTGCTAAGCAAACTGGAAACCTGGAAAACCTGGGATTGTCAGGGAATTTTATAAACTTTGAAAAAACCTGGAAAAGTCGGGGAATTTTGATCGAAATCCTGGAAAATTGTTGTTTTCTAAAGTTATTGTGTTTATTCTTGAATTCTAATTTCACTTAAATATTTCAAAATTAATTCAATTTTAAAAGAATTGCGTTGACAATTTTTACAAGTAGATCAACTTTAAAAGATTTTGTACAATTTCCATTTTAAATTAATTTAATTAGAAATATAAAAAAACTAATATTTAAAAAAAATATTTTAGAAACTAAAATTCTTCTGAAATTAGTTAAATTTTTTAATATATATTTAACTAGTTTTATTAAAAATAATGGATTTATAGAAGAATTTCAGTTAAATACACTAAAACAAATTGAATTTTGAAACAATTACAAATTATTGCAGAAATTCAATTATTTTCAAAAGTAGTAAAATTCTTCTCAAAAATTCAATTATTTTTAAAAATTTTAATAAAATTCTTGGCAAAATTTTAATTATTTTCAAAAACTTTCCTCAATTTATTGATTTTTAATATCTACTACTTCAATAAAAATTCCTAAAAGAATTTAATTAGTTAAAAAAAATTTAATAAAATTCTACGCAAACATTTAATTATTTTCATGAATAATAGAAATTTCACAGGAATTCAATATTATTTGCAAATTATTTTCATATATTATTTAATTACTTTCATGAATAATAACATTTTTTGCAGGGATTCAATTATTTTCTTAAATGATAAAACTCAATGCTGAATTTCAATTATTTTTAATACAATTTTAATGTAATTCCTCAAAAAAAGTTATAATTCTTAAAAATTTTATTAAAATTTATCAAAGAAATTTAATTATTTTAATAAATTTTGCTACAATTTATTTATTAGAATTTAGTTACTATTTCCAATAAATTTTTAATTAAATTTCTTTAAAGAATAAAATTATTTTCAAAACTTTTAATGCAATTTTTTACGTAACTATTCAATTTTTTTCAAAATAATTTTAATAAAATTCTATGCAAAAATCAAATTATATGTTTAAAAATTTACGAAAATTCTCGTCAAAATTTTTAATTATCTTTATAAATAATCAAAATTTTTCTCCGAAATTCAATTATTTTCAAAACTTTCAATAAAATTCTTGTCAGAATTTCAATTATTTTTAATACAATTTTCATCAAATTTCTCGAAAAATGCAATTATTCTTAAAAATTTTATTAAAATTTGTCAAGAGAATTCAATTATTTAAAAATTTTTAAATAAAATTCTTTATGAAAATTCAATTTTAAGAAACATTCAATTTTTTAATAAAATATTTATTTTTGTAATTAAATTAATGAATTCTCGTAGAATTTCCTAATGATGAATATTGATTTAAAAATGAATTTCAAATTAAAATCTTTGAAAATTTGAACTTTTCATACTTTTAATTAAGAATTCTAAAGAATTAATTTTTCTCAATAAGTTTAATGGACTTTTTTGTAATTATTTTTTGAAGTTTTAAATTTCTAATATATTTAATTGAAGAATGTCAGAACAATTGAAATTTCGTAAAATTAAATTGTAAACAAAAGAGTTTAAAAATTCACAAAGAACTTTTTCAAAAATTATTTTTAAAAAATTGACTTAAAGAAGAATTTTAGTTGAAAATTCAAGGTATGAATAATCCTAATGATGAAAATAATTTTTAAAGAAGTTTCAGTAACAAAGTAGTAGGTTTTAATTATTATAAAACATGAAGAAAGCGATCACTCCGAGTCTTCGACTCGGAGTGATCGCCTTCTTCATGTTTTATAATAATATTTTTATGTTATTGAATTTTAAATTATATCTTAATTTTTATTAAAAAAATAATGATTAAATATTTATTTAAAAATGAAGTTATTGATGTTTTCGAATAATTTTCGTTTTAAAAACCTGAAAAAATTCCGTTTTTCAATCTGGAAAACCTGGAAAAGTCAGGGAATTTGAAAAGAGCAAAAACGTGACAATCTTGAAATCAATTTATTATCAGACAACGTGCCCAGTGAGAAATTTCTCACCGGTCCAATATCGGTCCAATATTGGGAGCCAAGAGACCGATCATCGGTCCACCAATAAAGGCTCCCAATATTGGACCAATATGGGCTGATGCTTGGGATGTAACGGGATCGCCAAGCATCGGTTGTTAATATTGGTCCAATATTGGCCGAATATTGGCAACCAAGAGAAAAAATTTTTTTAATTAAATAATAATAATAAAAAATTAATGTTTATAATTTTTTTGTTTAATATATTTTATTTGTTTAATTATTTATTTTTAATAATTCATGTAAATAATAAATAATTTATTATTTATAAATTATAATAATTTAAAAATGCAGCAGCTATTAGAAAATAGCATTCTGCAAAAAAATTCTATCATTGAAAAATCAATGATAGGCGAGAGAAATCCGCATCTTTAAATAGATTCGCAGATGATAGACAAGAGATATCCGCGTCATTAAACGGATTCGCAGATATACTCTGGTCTCGCGACGAATTTCTCGATACTTATATACACTGGAGTCGCCGTGTCAGTTGCGAGAACGGTTACAGCGTCCCTCTTTCGGCGGAGATAAGAATTGTCACGTAAACTGCTAAATCGCTTTACCGACCGCCTTATTATACCCGCAGTTTACGTGACAATTCTTATCTCTGCCGCAAGAGGGACGCTGTAACCGTTCTCGCAACTGACACGGCGACTCCAGTGTATATAAGTATCGAGAGATTCGTCGCGAGACCAGAGTATATCTGCGAATCCGTTTAATGACGCGGATATCTCTTGTCTATCATCTGCGAATCTATTTAAAGACGCGGATTTCTCTCGCCTATCATTGATTTTTCAATGATAGAATTTTTTTGCAGAATGCTATTTTCTAATAGCTGCTGCATTTTTAAATAATTATAATTTATAAATAATAAATTATTTATTATTTACATGAATTATTAAAAATAAATAATTAAACAAATAAATATCTTAAACAAAAAAATTATAAACATTAATTTTTTATTATTATTATTATTTAATTAAAAAAATTTATTTAAAAAAATTTTTTCTCTTGGTTGCCAATATTAGGCCAATATTGGACCAATATTAACAACCGATGCTTGGCAATCCCGTTACATCCCAAGCATCAGCCCATATTGGTCCAATATTGGGAGTCAATCGGCGCCCAGCACAACAACCAATATTGGACCGATATTGGACCGACTAAAGTCTATTGGCAATTTCTCACTGGGTGGTTTTAAGTCTAAAAAAATTTTCAGACTCTTCAAAATAAGTAGAAATTGTTACAATTATTTAATATTTTTGTCGCGATCGGAAAAAGTGAATTTTAGTCGGCAACTTTTTAAAAATGTTGTCTTTGAGTAGTACAAGTCAATGTCGAATCAGACAAAGTTTGTTTATAAGCAGCATCTCTCCCAAGAGGTATTTTAAGTAGTACAAGTCAATATTCCATCAGCCTAAGTGAATTTTAATTCAATTTCAGGGCATAAAGGTGTATTTTAAGTGTATAGTGAAAATAAATGTATCGATAGACAAAAGAGTATTTTAGATGAAAAAATTTTTTTTCTAAACTAAAATTTCCTCTCAAAAGTATTTTAAGTAGTAAAACTCAATATATGATTGTTTCAACTAGAATTTCGTCTGCTGACAAGTATTTTAACTTTTTAAGTAGTAAAAGTCAATAAACGATCAAACAGAGTGAATTTAAATTCAGAAATTTCTCTCAAAGTTTTAAGTAGTACAAATTATTGCACGTTTGACTGAAATAATAATTTTCTGTTGCAACTTCTTTTTTGAAATTTTATTTTAAGTAGTAAAAGTCAATGGACTTTG